GACGGTCCCTGGTTTACTATGGTTCAACCATAGTAAACTCCAGAGTTTTTGACTTTAGAATGGTGCAAAAGTGATCGCATTTAATATGCTTCTCAATTTACAATAGGGTTACATCAGGATCAACCATATAAGTTGAAAATATCAGTTTGTTCAGGCTTAATCCCATAAGCCGAGGAGCACCTGTATTTGACATGGAAGAGTCAGGAGAAGGCCACATTAATGCCTCTTCGGCATGACCCTCAGATCGTCACCTCAGTACCATAACGAAAGCACTCATTCTCCTTTCTTCTCTCCCATTCACCTATTCATTCCCGTCCCCCAGAGGAAACCATTTATTATAGTTTTTACTTTCATTTTCCTAAAGGATATGATTATACTGCCATGGTTGTTTTTCGACTTTAAAAATTATTTACTACAATGCAAGCTAAAGTAAAAATTATTTACTACAATGCCATCTTCACCCCTCATCCACACACAATGCTTCTACACCCTACTCCTAACATAGTTATAATAGTATCATATTTGGTTAAGTCAAAATTCAATGATATGTTTTGACTGTGTAAATGTTATTTATAGCTGAGCTACGTATGGTTTTCATGGTTACATTTTCTTTACCTTTCTTTAACCACCCCCACTGCTCTGGAGTTAGTGATTACATTTTTGTTTGCTTAGTATTCTTTTGTAATATCATCAGTTTAATCCCCAAGTTCTGACACAGCTGTCAAACTTTTCTTGGTACAATTCTTTATAAATATTAAATATTCTATAAGCTTCTTTTTAATACTTCCTTCCTTCCCTCCCTCCCTTCCCTCTCTCCTCCCTCCCTTCTCTTTCCTTTCCCTTCCTTCCTTTGTTCCTTCCTTTCTTCCCTCCCTTCCTTCATTCCCTCCCTCCTTCTTTCTCCCTTCCTTCCTTCCCTTTCTTCATTCCCTCCCTCCCTCCCTTCTTTCTCCCTTTCCTTTCCCTCCCTCCCTTTCTTTATTCCTTCTTTTCTTCCTTCCCTCCCTCCCTTCCTTCCTTCCCTCCTTCCTTCCTCTTTCTTCTTTTCTTTCAAGATGGAGTCTCGCTCTGTTGCCCAGGCTGGAGTGTAGTGATATGATCTTGGCTCACTGTAACTTCTGCCTCAGAAGCTCAAGCAATTTTCCCACCTCCGTCTCCTGAAGAGCTGAGACTACAGGCGTGTGCCACCACATCTGGCCAACTTTTGTGTTTTCAGTAGAGACATGGTTTTGTCATGTTGGCCAGGCTGGTCTTGAACTCCTTACCTAAGCTATCCACCCGCCTCAGCCTCCCAAAAGTGCTGGCGTCACAGGCATGAGGCACCACGCCTGGCCTATAAACTTCATTTTTGAGGGGAGCATGTGGGGGCACTGTCCCTTCTGAAGTGATCTCTAATCCAACACTAAACAAGTATTGTCCTAGAACTTCGTTTCATCATCATCTCAGGAATTTCCTTTGCTCCTCTGTGAATCTTGTTCCTTTTTCCCTCACACTGCTTCTTTCTTGGTTTACACCTCCTTGCTTTTGTGCGACATACCAAAACAGTGGTTTTGAGAGAGAAGCCACAGGGGAGGAGGCAGCAGGGTGAAGGTGGGAATGGATGGCTCAGAGAAAACATCCCCTGTAAGGAAATGTGAAGTTATCACCTGACGGTAATGCAAGAATCCTGTGTTGTGTGCTCTTGGAAGTTCTTCTTTCAGAGACAATACATTTCAACTGTGCTGAATTTGAAAGGTAAGGCCTTTAGGATAGAGCTTTATGTTTTTTAGTGTACATAATAGGCTTGGATTTCTCCTAGAGGACACACTATTTCGCCCCCCAAATACCAAAACACAATCATTAAAGAAGCTGTACTTCACCACGTTGACAGAAGAGGGCACCATTAAACAAAGAATCTTGTAAATTAGCCCACATCCACAAGAATTACAAAAAATGGAATAAATCTATGCAAAGCTACTTTAAGAAAGAAAGAAAGAGACTTAACATACCTCCAGTGTGTTGAAAAAATATCACAAAGCAGAGGAAAACTGCAATGCAACACTCCAGACTTAAACAAGTATACAGACATGTGAGAAGCTATCTTTATTTATTTATTTTTATTTTTTTTGAAACTGGGAGGTTCAAAAAATAAATTTAAAAACTTTATTTATTTATGTATTTATTGAACCTCCCAGGTTCAAGAGATTCTCCTGCCTCAGCCTCCCAAGTATGGGATTACAGGCGCACACCACCATATCCAGCTAATTTTTACATTTTTAGTAGAGAGGGGGTTTCACCATGTTGGCCAGCCTGGTCTCAAACTCCTGACTTCAAGTAATCTGTGAGCTGCACCACTGCACTCCAGCCTGGGTGACAGAGCAAGACTGTGCCTCCAAAAAAAAAAAAAGAAAGAAAGTAAGAAAGAAAAAGAAACCAATACTCTCAATTTTATATATGGATTCCTCCTTCCTCCTTCTCCATCATAGTATGATGCCCTTAATTTTCTTAACTGTAGTATAGCCACCTCATAATGCACAGCCCAGATTTTTCCTCCACCATTCCACCACTGGGATATGTTGTCTTAGTTCTATAACAACATTGATCTAATCCCTGAAGATGAAGGCTCACTTAAAAAAAATGATCTATGTACTGAAATATATATCTATGTCCGAGGCCTTCTTTGTACAGTCATCCTTGGTATCTGCCAGGGATTCGTTCTAGGACTTCCACCGATACTAAACTCACAGAGGCTCAAGTCCTTTATATAAAATGGCCATAGTTATTTGCATATAACCCATTCACTTCTTCTGTATATTTAAAATCACTTCTAGATTACTTATAAGACCTAATAAAATGTAAACAGTATATAAATCATTGTTATACTGTATTTTTATTGGTATTATTTTTTCTTATTTGTTAGACACAAAAAATGTTCCTCTTCAAAGGATTTAGTTTATTTGGTCCCTTTGTTTCCCGCTTTCAAGGCCAGACCTCCTTATCCTTTGTGCCTCCTGCCCTGTTTCAATAAACAACTTTCCTACCAGTCCTAATCTACAGAACCCACATGTACTACTCACTCTTTAAATTACCCCTCCCGCCACAACGGCTCTTCCCGCCAAAACTGCCCTTCCCTCCTCATGACACACACCCCTATACTCTTCAAGTTAACCCACCAAGTTCAACTTAAATTGTACAGTCCAACTCCAGCCAATAAAAATAAGGCACAATAACAAAAACAAACTACATTAATAATACAAACCCTTCCCTTCTTTATTCAGTGTAGTCTCGTGACAACCAGCCCTACAAACACCACCCTTCTACAAAAGTAAATCTGCCTTACTAAAAAGTCCTTAAGTACTTGTTTTCTTTATGACTCCAAACTTTCACTCCCAACATTACTGTAATTTTTAGGGCTCTTAAATCTGTGGTCAGTTGAATTTGCAGATGTGGGATGATAAATATGGAGAATTGAGCATATTCCATTTATTTTCTAAGCATAAAATTGCACTCACTCATTCCTAGACTTCACCTCATATACACGTCTGTGTTCAGGGCAGCTACATATTTAAGAGGTAGAGCCCCCATTCAATTTTGAGAATAGGGAATTCCCTCCCAATATCAGAGGGAGAGATGAAGCTTCCCTACATGACACCTTAGCACAAAGAAAAATGTACCCTTCCCTCTGGGTGGATGTAGCTTTGCACAATGGTGTGGCTTGGCAAGTGGAATTCCAGCAGAGCTGTAGTCCTGATTCACTCCTTTGGCCAGCCATCTTTGTGCAACAGCCGAACTGCACAATCATACAAGGTAGCCCTGGGACTGGGACCCATGAAGATTATTTCCTTAAGATTTTTTTTTTTTTTTTAAGTAACTGACATGGCAAGTAGACACAGTCACTTCACAGTTTGTAATTATATATTTGCAGGATTTAATATCTGCTCCCAGTTTAATGAGTTCCATGAAAGTAGGGACTCCATCTTTACTCACTCGACATGCCACAGCCCACTATAGTGCCTGTGGCATGTCGAGTGAGCAAAGATGGAGCCACTCATCCCTGGCTCAATTCTCTTAATAGCTGAGCCTGCAATACTTTTGGAAGAGCAAAAAGATTACCTCATAACTCTCAGACATGACCACTGTCCAGAATTTTATTTATGGCAAACCCAAGAACCCACATGTAGAGAAGAGTGAAAAAGACAGGCAGAGACTGCTAGCTAGAAATGTTACAAATTCTAGACTATGGTCTACCACTGCTTCTGGATAATGTTCTATTTAAATAGAGTAACAATATAAATGACAAAATCTGTGACTGGCCCTTTACTGGTTACTTATATTTGCACTTTATCAATGGCCTCCTATTCTGTCCAATACCATTCTTGCCTCCTTCTCCAATCCATTTTTCGTATCACGGCCAGTGTGAAAACTAACCTGATTGAAGTATAATTTCAGTTCAAAACCTTTCAATGGTTTCTGATTGCTTAGGAGAAAAAAGCACAATGTTCTTATAATTTATAAAGCCCTATGTGATTTTGGCCTCTGCAAACTCACCTTGAGTCCTTCCCTCTGCTTTCTCTGCTCCAGCCAGCTCCTTTCTATGCTCCTGGCACTTCCCTAAGGAGATAATGCTCACTACTGCCCAGGGCCCTCAAACACGTTGTTTCCTCTGTCTAAAAGACTTTCTCTCCCCATGACAATCTTTACTCACCTAACTTGTGCCTCCTATAGGTCCTAACTTATATTGAGTTCTGAACACATACTGAAGGCATAATGTAAAGTGGGTCTCTCCACTTGTCCAGGAACTCTGCCTTCTCTGTATCTTATTTTCCTCTGTAGTCCTGATCTCATTTTGTCCTACTGTATACATCTGCATGATATGATTAGCATCTATCCCTCTCACTACAGGCTGAAGGTCTCTTTGGCTCACTAGTTATCCTCAGCATTACCCAGGGGTTTGGCATAGAGCACAGATCCTGATGTTTACTGAATAAATGAAGGTACAGTTTTTAAAGGTCACAGAGACATTTTTGAAACAAAGGCTTTCATATATTTATTGCTGAATCCACCTTACTAGCACAGAGCATATACACAAAGAGAAAGATATATTCCAAGTAAAACATGCAACAGTCCAGATAGTGGTGACATTTCAGCCTGATATTGTAAGACGATCATGATCTTGATACAGCATAAATATGCATGCCATCTCATGTGCAATTCCTTATAGACCCAGCTTGGTTCTTCTCCAATGTCTCCTTTTGGAGTTGTACCTGATTTTATTACCAGTTTTCATCTGAATCCACTGGGGAATGGGACGATTTTGCTTTTGTTTCTTGGCCAGGAATCGCTTAATGATGAAAGTCTTGTGAGAAGACATGGTGAGAAACAGTCAACCCCACACCACTATGGAGAAGAAAGAGAGAGAGACAGAGACATTACTAACATAGGATAGGATAAGGTAACGTGAATAAATAACAAGACAAGAAAGAGGATCTTTGGTGTCACAGTGAGGGCCCATTACCACTCAGGATCCCACAGCCAGCTCAGGCGCAGCTGATGAGCCAGCAGCAGGCTGAGGAGTCTGATGGCTGTTCTGGTGGATCAGCAGCAAAGGCAGGAGTCCCTTTGTTCCTCCTGTTCCTGACTTGATGCTACTCATTTCTCAGCAACATACTTCTGTTTCTCTTGTCAAATGTCCATCAGGAGGAATTTTTTTCCAACTTCTAAAGAAGTAATGAACAGGTAATACCAGTTCATTATAGAAAAACCAAAGCAACAGAACACTAAAAAAACCTATTATCTCATCTAGCTAGAAAAAGCCCCAGTATTAGCCACCTGGTATTATACTAGCCTTCCACTTAAGATAGATGTGCATGCAGAATATTGTCTTTCTATAAATTGAGATACTGTAGATATTATTTTGTAATCACAACTTATTTAACTAATATGTGACCCTTTTTTGGCAACTCTTTCTCAATAACCCTTTACATCTGGAGATCTTAAATCTTTCCCAGTGTTCTCGTATAGCAAATAGTACAGTAAAGGAAAATATGGCTGAAAATATAAATCTATAAAACAAGTAATTCATCCCCATGAAACTTAAAATATAAATGTATACATTTAAAACATGTAATTCGCTGTAAAACTACCTCATGGTACTTTCAATTTTAAAAGCCATTGGCTGTGCATACTAACTTATCTAATTATCAAAATTGACCACCTTACCATCTACTGAACTGATTTCAAATTGCATGCTACCTTTCCTTTTAAAGATCCTGGGCCCTCCATAATTAAGGAATATCAACCTGGGCAGAGAAACACAGGTAGTTATTTTTAATAATTCAGGTACAAAATAATGTCTACATCTCAGATTGTGAGAGTAATTAAATGACGGCAGTAAAGTCCTACTACAGTGTTGGAAATATACAAACAGTATGGCTCTGTCATGACAAAGGCATTGTTTTCCTAATCCTAAGATGGTGGGAATAGTGGTAGTGTGGAAAAAGCATGGTTCCTGACTGACTGAGTTCACATGTAGTGTCTAACCCAGTCTTTTCAGATGTGACCCACGTTATTATCTTGCTTCTCTCTCATGGTCACCTTACTGTTGTGAGATATCTATTCTATGTCCAGCATCTCCCCTAACATGCAGGCAGGAGGAAGGGGAAGAAAGAAAGGCAAAAGAGTACATGGCATGGGGCTACTGGCTTTTAAGGAGCTTTTTAGGTCTCTCTCTCAACACCTTTGATTACACCTCATTGGCAAGAACTGTGTTCCACTGCCACACTTATCAGTAATGAAGGATGAGCACTGTAGTGTTTTAGCTGAGCACACGGTGCCCCCAACCCCATGCAAATCAGTTTCTGCTCAAGAAAAAGGAAGAAGAATGAATAGAAGAGTAGATAATAGCAGTCTTTCCTATAACAATTTTGGAAAAAATAATTTAGGATACATCTGTTAATTTTAGCTCTCAAAATAACCCAAAGAAAACAGAGGGAAATTAAAAGAAGAGAAAAAGGAAGTTCTCAATGGAAATACCTATTAGTCTAAGTACTGAAAAGTAGGGTGAAAAAAAGCCCAAATTGATGGGCAACCCATAACTGTCATGGTAAGGAAATACCAGAAGTAGTAAGAGTGCTAACTGTATTGTCTGCCTTTCAACCCTAATATCCAAACTTCAGACACTTCTGATGCAACTGCCCAGTTGGGAAGCCAGTGTCCCCAGATTTGTACACCTTCCCACTCGGAACTCTCAGGAGCAGTAGACTTGACGTGCAAGTAACAGATGAGTGGCCAAGTAAGTTGGGATATAGAGTGGGGTGTGGTTGAGATACAAATGTTTCATGAAATATAAAACATTGGAAACTAAGCCACAGGTATCCTTGTAGAAGTCTACAGGCTAAGAGAATAACAAATAGGCCTGGAAATGCTGCATGAGTGATAAACACAGGGAAGGCACACTACTATTCTGCCCAGTCCTTTCATTTTCTTCCCATACATTAGCAGCAAAGAACCTTCAGCTACTGATCACAGTCCACCCTAAATTGACCACCTGCTGACTTTAGCTAGCTATAAAAAGCATCTAGCTGACCCTGTTCTACTCTTTGTACATCAGTTCCTTCTATACAATCTCTACCAGTGGTTCCAACCACTTCAGAAAAAAGCTGTGAAGAACACAGGGAAAGAACTAGACTGGGCTGCCAACAAAGCCAGGGTCTAACACCCTCTCCCTTGAGAAGCCTAGTTGTACTGGTTAGGGTTCTTGAAGCCAATCTCATTTGAAAGTCTTCTCTAAGAAAAATTTACTATAGTAAGATAAGAAACTACAATAGGCCAAAGAGTTTACTGTACTATTCCAGGTATTAGTTTCCAGTGAAGAGGAAGATAGGGTGCTCACCTCTGGAGATACTTTGGGCTAGGAGCTCTGACCAGGTATTTCCTGCAAGTTCAATGCCAGTGACACACAGCTCTTAGCTAGAACTCTCATGGACACTTTTAAAATAAACTCAAAGAGATAATTGCTATCTGTATTGAAGACAGTGAAAGAACTGAAAGAACTGGCTATAATACCAACGGAAATAAGCTTATAGCCAGCAAGTCAGTAGTCCTCATTCTAGTACAATAGTAATGGTTATGAGGGCAGTTTTATCTTAAAAGGAATGATTATACTCATTGCCCTAGACATCTCAGATGATTCATAGAACTTGTAGGAGTTAAATTTTCTGAAGAAAATATGGAACTGTGTAGCTCTGGCTATATGCTAAGTTATCTAATTAGTCTAGAGGCTGCAAATACAGTAAAATACAGATCCCACATACTGGAGATACACACTTCATTCCAGAAAACTGAGAGATGAGAAATCATGGTACCATGTAAAAAACTGGGCAAATTCTAGAACCTGGATAGCCCATGCAAAGGCAAAGTTTATTAAGTAATCATAAATGGAAGGCCTACTGCAGTAGAAATAAAGCACATGTGGAGATGAGGCTCGTGAGATTTATTAAATCTCTATCTGATGCAATCATACTTGGCCATTTAACTGGTGCCACCAGAAAGATGATCTACCACTAAATGCTGAGACATACGTTTCCTGCCCCTTGCTGTCCTAAGTGTAATCTTCAACCATATCTAGATGATTCTGAGAGTTCAAGGGAATGGGCACCAGTGCTTGTAACATCGAGGTGCTCATAAGGATCCCATTCTTTAACATCTATATTGAACATCAAAAATTGGACTCTGAATTTTGGCAAAACGTATAGGCCCACTCTTCATTCTTCTACTTACTGGATATAGGGGTCATGTGCACACCAATGGCTGTCTGAGGAATACAGTAGTGGCAGCTATTTGGGCATAACTAGACCACTGGGGCCACTAAATGGTTCCTCAAAATTCTTATTAGGCTCAGAAACAGAATTTGTTATGTAACTCCAAAGTTCAGTTGACTGGGCAACTTCAGCAATTTGTGATACAGCTATTATACGTGACCAGCCATGCAAAAGTAATGCCAAAGAAATGGTAGCCACAATAAATGTGGTCTAAACCTATGTCTAGCTGGAAAGAAAGGAGGAGCATGTGCTACTAAATAAGGAGAATACCTGTATCCCAGACAACAAAACACAGGGGATGCAATAAGATATGTCTAAAACGAAGCGGTTAAACTGAGTGGCCTTCATGGTGGTCCTGGCTCTCCACATCTTTTCAAAAAGTAGGATTTGATAATCAGAAATGGGAATTTATACTAAGAAATTTTATACTTGTGAGAGCAGTATTTTGATTTTTAAGTGATAAGTTGTATGAAAATAATAATAAATGGTGGTGTCATATTGGTTTAAAGGTCAACATGTTGTTTTAAATAAAAGTTATCATAAGCTAAGGGTTGGATGGTGGTTGGCCGTAGCTTGCCTTGTAACTTAGGAAGTGCCATGGCTGGAAAGCCTCTATGTGATGTGAAAAGCACCCTCTATTTGTAGCTCAGACCTGGAGTGTTCCTGCATCTTGTGGCTTTCTGAATCACTGCATGCAGACATAGAAATGCACTTGCTGGCTGTTGATGACTTCCTCTTCCTCACCCATCCCTAATCACTGTCTTTCTGCATGTGGTTACAGTGAGATCTTAGATCCCCCACTTGACCACCTGCTGCCTGTTGATCTTCCTTGCCTCTCTTGTTTTCCTTCCCCACTATATAAATCCCTAACTTTGGTTGGAGAGGGGAGATGGATTTGAGGTTTGGCTCTGGTCTCTCTGGTTGACTTCAACTGTGAAATAATAAAGCCTTCCCTGGCATTACTTGCTGCTTTTTGCGCAGCAAGCAATGGGACCTAGACTGAGCACCTAGTGTTTGATATCAGTATCACAAATTGTAAAGTGGATCTTGTACTAAGCATACCTCTGCACTTTGTGAGGCTTTCTGAAGTTGTGGGAAGCATTTATGGAACCCAGTGAGTAAATATCAGAGCACTCCGGAGTGGTTAAAGGTTATATTACTATTTAAGGTCATAAGGTTAAAGATTTTAAATATGGAACTCTGGGAATCTTCTTTTTTAACAAAAAAGTTTTTGTATCCAAACCATCTTGCGTGTCCCATGTCTGATTAAAGTTGTAGACTAAAAAAAGAACTTTTTGTTTCCAACAATTGCTTTTTTTTTTTTTATTTTGGAGACAGAGTTTCACTCTTGTTGCCCAGGCTGGAGTGCAATGGCACTATCTCAGCTAACTGTAACCTTGGCCTCTCAGGTCCAAGCAATTCTCCTGCCTCAGTCTCCCAAGTAGCTGGGATAATGGGTGCCTGCCACCATGTCTGGCTAATTATTTATTTATTTATTTATTTTTAGTAGAGACAGGGTTTCACCATGTTGGCCAGGCTGGTTTCAAACTCCTGACCTCAGGCAATCCACCTGCCTTGGCCTCCCAAAGTGTTGGGATTACAGGCGTGAGCCACCATGCCCAGCCCATCTGTTGCTTTTCAATGTTTTGAAAAATCACAGTATTTTGAAAAATACTGTGTGTTATTAATTTATTTTCCATTTCTAGTAATGGTGGGCCAGGTTATTTAGATCAGTCTGCCAGCTGAAGACAAAACAACTAAAAAAAACCGGGTAAAATACATTTCAAATAATCTTTTAAAAAGCATCAAAGAGGTTATAAAATAGTAAGGAATTATCAGACCAAAAGTAAAGAGAAGCAAAGAATCAAGAGAAGTAAACAAGCCTGAAGCCACTTTTTCACTGAAAGCATTAGCTAATCCCAGAACATTAGGACCTTCATTTTGACAGCCTTTCAGGGTACAAAGGAGCTCAAAAACAAAACCCTGGGTTCATATAAGTTGGGGTGTCTGACAGGAGACCTTCTCCTACAACAATCTGGGATCCAAAATCTCAGAGTGAAGGTAAACAAGAATTGTAATAATCTGAAAGTGATGAGACGCTTCTGAGTTGACTAGGAAATATCAAACTTTGAACAGGTGAACCCAAATTTGTACTACCTGCAGGTACCCAACAAAAGCAAATACAAGTGCTCTTTGGGGCAAAGTATTTTAATTATAGGCCAGACAATTATTCGACAAAATGACATTTCAAGTGCAATGACTAGTGCAGGGTCAAATGTATCCAGTCTATAAGAAAATTGGAATAAATAATTAAAAGAGGCAATAGAAAGAGATCATTAGAAACTCTAGGTAGGACCCAGTATCTGTGTTTTAAAAGGCCATCTAGGTCATTCTGATACATGCTAAAGTTTGAGAATCATTGCTTTATACTTTACCATGTAAACATGCATCGCATAAAAAGATATACATAAATATAATAGATCAGAGAATGGACCCAAGAATTTGCATTTCCAACAAATTCCCAGATAACACTGATGCCAGGCCACACTTTGAGAACCACTGGTACGAAAAAAAGAATTTTAGTATACAGGTAAAGATAGTGGTCACCTGTAGGGAGGCAAAGGGCTGTTACTTAGAAACAATATTCATATATTTTCTAGAATGCTGATAATTTTCTATTTCTTAGTCTGGGTAGTGATTACACAGGTGTCATTGTTAAATGACACATTTACACTTAGTGCATATTTTCTTTTTTAAAAATTTTTACTTTTATTGTACTTTAGGTTCTAGGGTACATGTGCAGATGATGCAGGATTATTGCATAGGTACATACATGGCAATGTGGTTTGCTGCCTCCACCGCCCCGCCATCACCTATATTTGGTATTTCTCCCCATGTTATCCCTCCCCAACCTCCCCACCCCCTGCTGTCCCTCCTCTACACCCTCCGAACAGACCCCAGTGTGTGATGCTCCCCTCCCTGTGTCCCCATGTTCTCATTGTTCAACACTCGCCTATGAGTGCATATTTTCATGCATAATGAGATAACTGGTTTCCCTTTCCCAATTGATCATACAGTTCAAATGCCATGGCATAAATCCTGTCTACCATCATCCCACCATCTTCATTTATAATCAGTGCCTAAAGTCAAAAATGTAAAAGTTTGTGAAGTTCCAAGACAGCTCTTTTCACTTTACTTTGAAATGTAATTAGTTCACAAAATTAAATAGCTTTAAAAATTAAAACAAGAAAAGTTTAGTCTAAGTTTTTAAAAACCATATTTAAAACACTGCTTAAAATTCAGAGATATACTATCTACAGCCTTCATCCCTAATTTAAAAATATCCATAAAACTAAAAAGAAAGTATCTTAAAATTTTAACAAAGTGTCCAATTTTTTAAATTATCCCTTTTCCCCCACAAATTTAAAGAAAGGGGAAGAAAATCCTACCTTTTCCAAGTCTGAATTTCCTACTCCAAAGAGTCAAAGATGCTTGCTTTTCTCCAAATAAAATCTGAAGAAAAAAAAAAAATCCAGTGTATACTAGTAACAGTAATATCCTACTATTTTCAGTGAAACCTTAACTATGGGTGAAAGTAATGTTCATCAATTGGCCTTAAATTTGTGAAAACTTTAAGAGAAAATACAGAAAGTCTTTTTGAGGAAAGAGAGGTAATGACAAAAAAAATGAAATATATAATATTAAACTGATCGGTGAAGCTTGTACTTGCTATTGAACTCCCACTCACAAATCCTCAAACAACATTAATAAAATCTGGGATGTGTACACCTGTTTCTTGGGTTTATGAAAAATATGCTCTTTTTGGGGATTAGATTCTTCCCAAAACTTCAAAAACAATAATATTTGCCAGTTTTTGGATGGACAGTATCAACATAGCTATTATACAAGCCCTCCTCCCCTTATTCTGTGAGGAAATCATTACAACAGTTTTTTTTTAACACACATTTCTTTCTCTCTTTTTTGAGACAGGGTCTCATTCTGTTGTCCAGGCTGAAGCACAGTATCATGATCCTAGCTCACTGCAGCCTCAAATTCCTGGCCTCAGGTGATCCTTCCATTTCAGTCTCCTGAGTAGCTGGGACTACAGGCTTGCGCCAGTATGCCTGGCATATAACAATTGTTATAGTTACTAATTCTGGCAGGTAGTCAGTAGCAGCCTATGCCTTGTGATGTACCAACAGGTATCTGAACAACCAAATAGTTCCCACAGAAAGGTCTGTGGGTAATGCCTCCCTGTGGCAAGCTAATGACTGAGGCTATGGCAAAAACATATGAAGTCAGGTTTTGTTATGCCTGTAAACATTATGACGCATCCAACATCCAGATATGTCTCCCCATGTATGTGGTAACACCTGGCCAGACCCTATTATACCTCTTGCTTGCATAGAGCTGTACGCACACATCCCTTACAATGTCTTCTCCTTCCACTGTTGCAAAATGACTGTATGTTACGATGCCTAATCATTATCATATCAACTGTAGGATGTGGCAAGACAGTGATGATAGCTTAACAAGGATCGTCCCTGGATATCGAATGTTAGATCCAGATGGTCAGACAAGTGAAAGGCAGTTTTTGCAACCATGTGAGTTAATACACTGCAATTTCAAGATAATATAGTTGAGGATTAAAGAGGTTTGATAAGCTCCCTTCCTGAGCAGATAGAATAGTAGGTTTTAACAGCCTAAATATACAACCTGGGAGGATTTGGGGAGATGTGAAAAGCCACACACACACTGAACACTGTCAATCCAATGTCCTCTGTGTCCTTTACTCACGATGTAACCTTCATCAAGCCTCAAGGCCAGTCTTCCCTAGGATCACTTCAATTTAGAAAGTAATAATCATTTTTTAAACAAAAGCATAACCATGGCTTTGGAATACAGCTGATCTTAGAGAGCAGTGCTCCTTCTCCTCCTCGCTGACAACAATATCTTAAACACACAGTTCGTTCTTTAAAATGACATCTCCACTCAGTTCTTTTGAGTAGAAAATTCTAAATTATCAACATTTAGCTGAGCTTGTTCTATTCAATGATTGTTTACCTTGTTTTAAGGATAAATGTGCCACAGTAAAGCACAAAATATGCTATATTGTTTCATTAATGTCTGTAAACTGTACTGGATTCTCAACTTTCTATACCTTTTGGACTATAAAGTTAACCTTAAGAAACCAACCTGGCCAGGCACGATGGCTCATGCCTGTAATCCCAGCACTTTGGGAGGCTGAGGCAGGTGGATCATGAGGTCAGGAGTTCATGACCAGCCTGGCCAAGATGGTGAAACCCCGTCTCTACTAAAAATACAAAAATTAGTTGGGTAAGGTGGCACATGCCTGTAATCCCAGCTACTTGGGAAGCTGAGGCAGAGAACTGCTTGAATCCGGGAGACAGAAGTTGCAATGAGCCAAGATCATGCCACTGCACTCCAGCCTGGGTGGGCGACAAAGCGAGACTACATCTCAAAAAAAAAGAAAGAAACCAACTTATAAAATTTCTGCCTTACATCTTTCAACACAATCTGAGTATTTCTCCCTACTCCCAGGTCACCACTAAACCCTCCCCAACCTGTGTGTGTGTGTCTGTGAGAATATCAGGCTCACACATAAATAAGTGCCACTTAATAAAAGCTGCATTTTGTCATCTAGGTCACCCAGTAGGTATAGAGAAGATATTAGTGATTTCCCTTGGGCTAGGCTAAAATACTTCATCTCATACATAGTTTTAATGTACTCTGTTATAATAATCAGTTGGCTTGAAAAACCAATCATAAAACTCTCAAAGCATCTTAGTCTTTCAAGACAGCCCTTGCCAAATGCTTTGAATATTCTTGTTGACTGCCTTGACTTTCCAATGTTTCCTCTTACAAGAACCAGTTTGGGAGTTAGGGAGATATTCTAGTCATTTGTGAATCTACTTTGCCTCACATGAGTTGATAACATCCATGATATTACCTTCAAAGCAAAGTTCTTCATACATTCCATTCATTGGTTTTATTCTCTGATGTATTAAACTGAAATCACTTTTGCACCAACCTAATAGTTTGGATATTTGTCCCCACCCAAATCTTATATTGAATTGTAACCCCCAATGTTGGAGGTGGGCCTGGTAGGAGGTGTTTGGGTGGTGGGAATGAATCCTTCGTGGCTTGGTGCTGCCTTGGTGACTGTGAGTTCTCATCAGGCAGTGTTACTCTTGCTTTTGCCATGTGACATGCCTGCTCCCACTTCACCTTCTGCCATGAGTAAAAGCACCCTGAGGCCTCCTCAGAAGTAGAACAGATGCTAGTGCTATGCTTCCTGTACAGTCTGTAGAACCATAAGCCAATTAAACCTCTTCTTTATAAACTTACCCAGTCTCAGGTATTTCCTTATAGCACTGTAAGAATGGCCTAACACATTCTCAATCATTTGATAAAAGTTTTCATCCTAAATTTCTTCTGTATGGCAAGTGGTTTCTGAGTAATCTTTAATTTTGAAATGAAAGTTCTCAAGTATTTTATATGCAGAGGTAGAGCTCTTCCTGCATTTTTTTTTTTTTGTACTTCTACTGTTACTGAGTCATCTGCATCACATGACATTTCCATCAAATGGGTACAACTGCCTGTATAATTCATGCTGTTTGTTGACTTATGAGCCCAGGGCATCATCATACCACTTGCTAACTTCTTTTCCTTAGCATGTCCTCTTTCAGTTTTCTGTACATCCTTGGTTGGCATATAACCTAAAATCAAAGTGGTATTTACAGGCTTTTTTTCCCCACATATACAACTCTGATTTTCTCTACATTGTCTTGCAAGTTGAAATATTTTTCTCTTCTGTATTTTTGACCACTGTTAACAGTGGTTAAAAGAACTCTGGAGGGCCGGGCACGGTGGCTCACAGCTGTCATCCCAGCACTTTGGGAGGCCAAGGCGGGCGGATTGCCTGAGGTCAGGAGTTCAAGACCAGCCTGGCCAACGTGGTGAAATCCTGTCTCTATTAAAAATATAAATTAGCCGGGCATGGTGGCAGGTGCCTGTAATTCCAGCTACTTAGAAGGCTGAGGCAGGAGAATTGCTTGAACCTGGGAGGTGGAGGTTGCAGTGAGCCGAGATGGCGGCACTGTACTCCAGCCTGGGTGACAGAGCAAGACTCCTTCTAAAAATAATTAAAAAAACAAACTCTAGAAACAAACTGCATAGGCTCAAGTCTCACTGTCACCACTTGCTATTAGTGTGACCTTGAACACGTTTCTTAGTCCTGTTGTTCCTTATTTTTCTAATCTATAGTGTGTGGATAATAACATCATAGGGTTGTTATGAAGCTTATATACGTGAGGATTCAGTGTAGTAATGAATGTAAAATGTTTAGGACAATTCTTGGCACATTATAAACACAATACAGGTCTTAGTTGTTATTTTTATATCTACAGCTGTATAAAGCCTACAGTTGTTGAAATTATAAATGTTCCCAGTTTAAATATTTCTGTGTTGATTCTATGGTACTAATGTCACTATCTTGGCTATTTAATAGAAAGATAGCACATGCACAGACTATAAGCTCCTCAAGAGGTTAAATGCTTCTTGAATACTCAAGGATGCTCAAAAGAGTAATTGAGCAAATGATAAAGCTTTCATCGTCACACCAGATACAGTACATTTCCTTTAGGCTGCCTACCAAATAACCCCATTAGTGATGGTTGTAGGGGTCACAAACACTCCTGATTTCCACAGTATCTGAAATAAAAGAACACTATACCAGAGGTACTGCCCATGGCAACATAAACCAAGTACGCCCCCAGGCAGCTGATAGCAAGATTATACATGCATGTGTATACACATGTACTTATTCACCCAAAGTGGCCAATATTAATGTTCGAAGATTATTGCTACACTCAGCATCTTCCCTTGACAAGAGAGAATACAGATTTTTTTTTTTTTTGAAAAGTTTTGCTCAAAAATCTATGAAAGATGCTCAGCTGCTGGGAGTAATTTAAGTCTGGTGCTAGTTGAATGCTGACTACAGGTGTAGAAGGTATAGGTGTGGACCCACCTCTTCAATGAGAGTTCATTTAGGTAATTAGATAAATCTGCTGCTGAAAGACAAAAGAATGGCAGATACTGAAACAATTTTGCTTCTTCTCTATTTTAAGGATGACTTCACAAGAACCCCTGATTTTGTAAGAAACAGATGTTTCCCCGTATGGTTTCTCACTATCTCAAGAGCCACTTTTGTCCATATTCAACATGCATAAATATTTCAGTAATTTGTCTTCTGCCTTGGATGTAGAAACCTAGAAAGAGCATCACTCCTATGCCAACAACCAGAAAAACTGCAAAATAATTTTACTGAGGTCAGTTGGGGAGCGGTGCTAGGGGATGGACGGTGGGGGGGTTGGGAGGAATAACGAGAGGAGAAATACCAGATATAGGTGATGTGGGGATGAAGGCAGCAAGCCACCTTGCCATGCATGTACCCGTGCAACAATCCTGCATGATCTGCACATATACTCCAG